GGGGGGGGGGGGGGCATGCAGGAGGCAGCCGATCAATGACTCTCCCTCATCACTGATGTTTCTATCTCTCTCTCTCTCCCTTCCTCTCTCTGTAATCAATAAATATATATTTAAAACTTTTTTTATCTATTTATACTACCTGACAGTAAATTGTCATTATAAAACACTGAATAATTCCTATGGAATCCTGATTGTTCCATACAGAAAAGGGAGGGTATTTGGGGATTAAAAAACATATACATACATACAATCCTACTAGATTTAAGTCCAAATCAATGGCACACAGTACAAACTGTCTAATCCGAGGTACCTGTTATCAGTGCTGCGGGCATTTTCTGTGAGTTGGACAACTTTTGCCATTCATATTGTAATGGAGGTGAACCTTCTTTTGGTTCACATTTTAGTTTAAAGTCATTTCCAATTTCTTCTGATCCATCAACGTAACATCTTGTACCTGAAGGTTTAACTGAGGAAAGAAAATAAATTTTAACTTTATACAAAAGAATGGAAGTTGTTTACAGTGATTAAACACAGAGTGTGTATAATCATTGTGAACCACCACTGACTCATCACATGGCTCTTGGTTCAGAGTTGACAAGGCCGAATGACTACAACTGGTTGTCAACACCAGTTTTCTCAGCTTCATCTAACACAAAATAGGCAAGACTGGGCTCAGACAAGCAGCCACTGCACAGGGAGCTCTGTGATTCCACGGGGCAGTCCTGAGAAAAAGCATGACATGGGCTGTGTCTCTTCAGACTCAAGGGCGCGACCTCCTCCATCCCTAACCCGCTCCTCTACTCCGTGCCTGACGGGTGCACGTGCCAAGGCACATCCCTCTGGTGCCTTTACCTCGCCCATCAGGGGGTTTATAATAAATAATGCTGATGACAGAGACAGTTCACTTGGTGCAGCAAGGACCAATTAATATTCTGCATTTACATTAACCCCAAACCATCCAGAGAGCAGTGTTATAAATAAAAAGGTAAATCTGAGGCTATAATTCAGATCTCTCTGGGTGCCTGTTTAGAAAAGCTGTTAACTCCATTACCTGAAATTCACCCCAACAACGAATTAACACCTTGGTGTTTCATACTCTCCTGTTGAACTTTATTAAAGCATAATATACATACAATAACATTAACACATTTTAATAGTGTGGGTTGATCATGTTCAAATGTGTGTACATGCACACGTACATACACACACACCCACACCCACACACCCCACACCCTGTTAAGCACCGCCCCTACCCACTCCTAGCCAGTTCCCTCGTGCTGGCTGCAGGCACCTCACTCTACACGCCTGGCCCCAGGAGCCACTGATTGGATTTTAGCACTGAAGATTAGTTCTGCTCCTTCTGGAGTCATATAAATGGAACAATACACTATGTACTTTTTGTCTTGCTTCTTAATTCATTGTAAGGCTTTTGAAATTGAGGCTTTTGAAATTGATCCATGTTATCTATTTAAAAAAAAACAAAACTTTTTTGCTGCTGAGTTGTATTCCACTGACTATAACATAAACTTAGTTACCCATTCATCTGTCGGGAAACACTGACTCCAGCTTTTGGGCAACTTTTAAAGCCTAAGTCGCTACTGACCAGGAGCGGTTTGTGGTCTGTGAAAATCAGACTGACCAGTGAGGAAGGCACTGCTGGGAGCTGTGGGATGTCACTGGATGAGAGGGGAGATTCTGAAGGACTCTAGGAGAGGCTAAAAGCAGCAGAGATCGCTTGGGAACCCGACGCTGTTTCTGAGGCAGGGTTAGGAGAACCGGGAGTGAAACAGGTGATGGGGCCATTCAGCAACTGCGTTCCCTCCTCAGGGAAGGATGGGGAGTGCAGAGAGGGCCTGGGGGCGACACTGGGGAGACAGCGGTGGTCCATAGCTGACTGCAGCTCCACGACCTTGGGAGAAACAATGTCCCCTCTATCAGCTCTGCAGCTGGCTGTGTCTGCATCTGTTCTCCCAGCCTGATAAAGGGCAGGGCTGCTTTCTCTTCTTTTTTAGTCTGAGCTGTTTTCATTCTTTCAGCACTGGATGGGCTTCTGCTCTTTCGCTGCCGTGAACAAGCGTGAACGGGTTTTACAGCTTCACAGTTACGAACACCACCGCTCGAACACTCATGTGAATACTGGTATGTTTTCCTTTCCTCAGTAATTGCTGGATCATCTGTGGTACGTGTATGTTTAACTCTAAAAGAAACTTTCCAAATTTGGCCATTGGGATCTATCATGTCCAGTGAGGGACCTTACTTCTTCACACACGTCTTGATAATGCTTCAATTTCATGGTATTTCTCCCCCCTTCTTCTGTTACTTGCACTTTTTCATAAGGATCAACAGATGCATTTAACTGCATTGCTGACTTCCTAAGCAAATCTGTCTCTTTTTCAGATTGATCAGTCACCCAGGAGGCTGCACGTACTGGACATTTAAATCAGTTTCTCGAATTATTGCATCCTGTGAGCCTCTAACAAAATGAGCTTTGTTTTCCATTTCTTCAAACTACCAATCAATCCTTTATTACATAAGCTAGCAGCGGGACATGAAAGAAATGCTTTGTACATCAAATACCTACTGGAAATACAGCATACTAACCCTAACCTCATCTTTTCTACTGAAGATGGCCCTGCCCAGCGTGCGTGGCTCAGCGGTTGAGCACTGACCGAGGATCCAGGTGATTTTGGGTTTGATTCCCGGTCAGGGCACATGCCCAGGTTTCGAGCTTGATCCCCAGTCGGGGGCACGCAGGAGGCAGCTGATCAATGACTCTCATCATTGATGTTTCTCTCTCTCTCTCTCTCCCTCTCCTTTCCTCTCTCTGAAATCAATAAAGATATATTAAAAAAATAAAATAAAAAATTTAAAGATGGCCCTTTCCCGTATACCAAACACACCCAATCATGAGCAGTTAAAGTGACTGCTCAGGAATTCCAAGGCCCCACTGAGTTTGAGATCTCAACATACTCCATCCACAATACAACAAGATTTTACCAACAACGGTTTCTGAGTGTAGCCCTGGAGTGGCCCACCTGCTTTCCAAGCCCAATCATTATACCACAGGGAAGAGTAACTCTTCATCCGCAGCATTCGGTTGGATCGAAAAAAAGAAAACCACAAAGGGACACAGATAGTTTTATTCCCTAATTTTTCTTGGGTGTGGGGTTCCAGGATACCTGGCCACTTTCTCAGAACATTTGCATCATCTAGCATAGCTGCTGGCTCTTCCCAGGTAAGGGTATGTGACGATCATCAACTTGGACTTGGCCAGTGTCCCACCGATTCAGTAATGCTGTGCTCCATACACGTACAGCACCCTCTCTCCACGCTAGAGGCCCACCTCAGTCTACAGAAAACACACTTTAAATCCCCACGTGGGATAGGATATACAGGGTGGGGCAAAGTAGGTTTACAGTTGTAAGCATGTGGAACAGAGCTTATTCTTATATTATTTATTAATTATTGTATTATTTTCCATATGCAAAGCTCCTTTTGCCCCACTCTATACTTTTATCGCCATGTCATCCATCCAGGAATGCTCATTTTTCTTGGTTCAAACTACCCTGACTCCAGGCGAAATCCCTGCATAGATGTTAAAAATCAATGGGCAAAGTTTGAGGAGAAACGAATTATCTGTAGAGTCTCAAAGTGACTCCCCAAGATGCTTTTCTTTTCATTACAGAAGGAAAAATCAGAACTTTACAGTGGAGAAACCCAGGAGGTAACACTTAAACCACATGATCAAGATTAAGACTGAGAGATGACATCATGTGCCCCTTGACATGACTGGAGGAGACTCAGGAGACGTAAACTCCTGTGGATCTCAGACTTGATCCTAGCACAAAAGGACTTTAATAGAAAACTGTGAAATTCAAATTAGGTTTGTAGTTATAGCATTGCCTCAACATTCATTTCTTGGTTTTGATAACTGTATTATGATTTTGTGAAAGTTAATATTAGAAGAAATCAGATGATGGGTACACTCTCAGGAAGTCTCTAGTATTTTTGGAACTTTCTATAAAACTAAAATTACTTCAGAATAAAAAGTGGGGGGAAAAGGCCCGCGCTATGCTAACAGCTTCCAAATCCCAGAGCTGGCTGAGCCACCACACGGGCGGGGCGCTGCATTCTGGTGGCGTGCACGGATACGCTCAGGAAGCTGCTCGCTGTGAACGGCCTACTCTTCAAAACCACCAACCTGTTCATTCCAGAGGTCTCCATACGGGCCCTATGGGAGCTGTGGGGAAAGGCTCTGGTGTGGCCATGGCACTGGCACTGGTTAACTCCCCTGGTGCCCCGACAGAGCGGGCAGGCCGTGGCGGCACGCTGCCCCTCACCCCCAGGCGGCTAACAGTCGCCCGGGTCATGATCCCGGGTCAGCCCACAGAGCGCACCGGCCCATGAAGCAGCTCTCACTGCTCTGCAAACAGCGGGGGGCACCTCCAGGCTTCCCACCAATGTATCAAAGGTTACTCTGAAGCAAGAGCCCCTTGGGCTACCGCTCGGTCTGGTCCCTAGAGGGCACTTTATCTTCTCTTCCCTCCACAGATCCTCTAAGCAGAATTTTCAGGAAAAGTTAACAGATGAGCTTCTGTTCAACTCTCTCTTTCAAAGAAAATTCTACTGGTTTCTCCCACGGCATGATTCATTTGAAAACTCGGAAGCAGTTCTCCTCTGACTCAGACAGACTCACAGAATCAGCGCACGAGTCACCTCCACCTCCCTTCAGCAATCACTTCCTCCCCCTTACCCTTCACTTAGAGCTAAGAGAAGATGCTCCGAGTCAGTGCTTTCCACTGATCCATTCGGAGGTATCAGAGGGGGCTGTGACGGTTAATGTAAAAGTGCCGTTCCTCTTTGCCAGAGTCACAGCCGCAGCCATCAGTGTGCGCGGCCATACCACTGTCCAACCTGGGCGCTCTGGGACATGGGCAGCCTTGTGCTATAAAGGTCCCTTCAGCGGAAACCTAAAAATTCAACCCAGGGCCTGGTCCTCCAGAATCAATCAATCTCTCTCCCTCCTCCACCCCACCCCATGTCTATCTGTCTGTCTGTCTGTTCTCTCTCTCTCACACATACACACACACACTGAGGCATTGAGCCTGTCCACACCTCTTCTGGAAATATGTGCCAATTGCATCCCTCCCATTGTACCTGCCCCATCCAACAGGGATTTCACAGTAAAAAATTCTGATATTCTGATTAACTGGTATACTCTGCTTGGTATATCACGAGCCAGTTAAAATTCCATATGTATCTTAACTCAATGCTTTCTGGGGAGTAGTGTTAAAAGAAGATATATAGTCAGGGTTATAATCCCGGGTACACCTGGGTCTGAGACTTGAGTTCAGACAACCTATTAAACTTTTACCTGCTTTACATTTATAAAAAAGGAAAGCCCATGTTTACTGAATGCAGACCCAGAAAGCTAGGATTCCCAATGTTGGCACAGTCCTCTTCCTGGTTCCTAGTTCAGGCTCACTTGCTTTCATATCATTGGAAATATTTTGAATGGGTGCCATTTAGAATGAAGTGCCTTTACCAGGCCCCCCCGTGTGCCCACTCAATGCCGCCAGCAGAAGACTATCTTTCCAACCAAGGCAGCCACCGGGGTGCACGGAAACCTGGATTCCTTCTTCTGCTCAGACATTCATTCTTTAGAAAAGCGTGATGTTCAAAATGAGTCTGGAACCCAAAATGCTTAACCCCTAATTAGTTCTCTAAAACAAACGGAATCTTGTTTCTCCATCTGAAGGGGTTAAGAGTGCTTGTGCATGACCACATACCCTAGAGAAGGACAGTAAACTTTGCCGTCTTTGACAGCTTGCAAAAAGCTTACACTTATCTCCTTCTTAACTAGCCTAGAGAGAGCTAGAAGACATGCTAGTGACGCCTGGCTAATCCCCTCACTTAAGGATGAAAAACTGTGATCCTCATGGAGTTAAATGATTCTGATGTCTATGGTCTTATCCCAATTCATAATCCTTCTACCATACTCCATCTCCATTCTAAATACTCCAATTGGTCATCATAGAAACCTCATTTATTCTTTGGGTAATGCATTTTGAAAAACTTTACAGTACACATTAACAATTCTGAACTGAATGAGATTAAATAGAGATTTAATGACAATTACATCTTGTAATGTTTCACAAAGGAAGGCTGAAACCCACGAAATAAAGATGCTCTTTAATTCTCAGGAGAAATCTGAGGACACACCAAAAACAAAAACAAAACAAAACAAAACCTGGATCCTCCGACTCCTGGCTCAGGATTCTTTTCCTGTATTACAGAACCTCTTCATTTACTTTCAAACTTTTTTATAAATTTCACAAAGAAACTAGTCATTTTTTTTTTTTCTATCCAAAAAAGAATGCTAGCTTTATGTTTTGTGTTATTTGAGGACAGAATTACTTCAGATGTTTAAAATTATTACTCTAAAAAACCAAGCTTTGTCTCACATGAATGCTGCTACAATCCTACCATGACCACTCATCCTGTTAATAAGTAACGTTAATAAATATAACTTACCAAGAACTTTCAGCTGAATCTTCTTATTTCCAACACCAGGGGCTTTTTTCACTTTGCACTGATATGTGCCAATATCTGACAATTGTAAATTGGTTACATTTATGGACGCATCGCCAGATCTGAGGTCACTACTTGTAAAATGTACTCTTCCTTTTAGATCCGGATAGTAGTCATCATAAATTTTGTCTCCAGAATATAAAATAATCTAAAAGAAAACCAAAATAAGACAGGACAACAACAACAAAGCAAAACCTGCCTCATTAAAGGAGCTCTGGATATGCCACGCGACTGTGGGATCCAAAAGGAGAGTATGAACACATATTACGAGGAAACCTACAACCATTCAAAGCACAGATTAAGAAAACAGAAGAGGTCCATGTGATCCTTGAGTATGGTCACACACTCTCATTTTCAATGAGGAATCCAAGACCCAGCACGAGTGGGTAATCCAGCCCTCCATGGGTGTGAGGTAGTGAAACTGGACAGGAGCACAGAGCTGTGAATTCCTATACACTCTCTCGGCTGCCTCAGAGCCCACAGTATGTATGCCAATCAACTGTATAAAATCAAGTAAACACCACCACCATTCCCAAAAAAGGGGTTTTGATAATTAGCTGTGAAATATAACAAAAAAGAAATTGTTTGTCTTAATACTAAGTTGGAGGGTTAATATTTAATAATTGAGGGTTCTAGAAGCTAACAGAAAAATCATAAAATAAACCCCTTAAGATGTGTGCCTAGGTTCACAGGACCTTTCAATTAATCTTCTGCGAGTAAGGCCCTTTCTTAATTCCACTGAGTTCTCTGAGCTAGTTACAGTCTTTAATGGAAATAACTAAAGGCTAAATGTAGTGGGAAATTCTGTTAAACCTGACTTGGAAGAGACTTATAAGAGTCACCTCTAAGTATAACTCAAGTTAATTTAACACACTTTATAGTTTTTCACATTTGCTAACAAAATTCTTCAGTCCGGCCCTGGCCAGTGTGGCTCAGTGGTTAGAGTGTAAGCCCCATACACCAAAGGATCTCGAGTTCGATTCCTGGTTAAGGGTATGTGTCTGGGTTGCAGGTTTGATCCCCGGTCGGTAGGGGCGCGTTTGGGAGGCAACCGATCGATGTCTCTCTCTCCCTCTCTATCTCCCCCCCGCCCCCCGCCTTCCTTCCACAGTCTCTCTAAAAATCAGTGGACAAATATCCTCAGCTGAGAATTAACAAACAAACAAACAAAAAATCCTTCATTCGGGTCATCTGAGACCCAAGGGGCGAAGATCGGTGGTGCCAAACTCAAATAATAACCAGAACACACTATAGTCTATATGCTGCAAATAATTTTTTATCTGAGATGTTAATTATGGACATCAGTACAATCAGAATAAATGTCCTCCAGGAATTTCTTGAGGGCAGGGGCTTGGGTTCTTTTCTGTATTATCACCTCCTTACCATGCTGACCCCACTCCTAACTCACTAAAGATCTTTTATTTGTATCTTCCGTGTCTGCTTCTAGGAAGCACTCAACCCCCAGCTTGCTAAGTTTGCTAAGTAAACAGCTGAAGGGTCCACAGCTGACCTACTCTGTAAACAGCCACTACTTCAAGTGTTCTATCTTCTCGCCACACCCGCTTGTCAGCAGCATGGCTGAGGACTCCTCGGAGGAGGCCGTGGTATCTCCCTTTGTATTTAACTAGGATTCCCCAGGAATTTAAGCTGTTAGACTTTTGGTTCCTCACTCTGCTACACACACACACTTTGGCAGTCTTTTGAAGGGGGCCTGACAAGTAAGATGTGTCCCCACTGTGAGTTATTTTGTAAACTATCTTAGTCTTTTCCCACGAAAACAATGTTCTGAACGGCAGTTAGGACACGGGGAGCGAGCATTTACCAGGCAGTGTTGGTTCCCTTCGCCGCCCTGCAGGGTGGCGGTCTTACCGCATCTATCCCGTAGCCCGAGGAAAGCGGCGGCTCTCCCAGGCCCGACTTTCGCAAAGTCACAGAGCTCAGGTGCAAACCAGACGCCTGTGAGCTGGCACGGTATCCTGACGTGGTTAACATTTCTACACACGCACAGTACTTCAGGAAAGTCTCGTGACAATCCTGAGAGGTAGGTGTATTTGTGCCCATTCTACACGAGGAAACTGAGGCTTACTGAGGCTTCTGGAACACGGACGGCGGTAACAGGGAGCAAAGGGGGGGAGTCAGAGAAACCTGGGTGCAAGTCCCAGCTGCAGTGCTGCCAGCTGTGTGACTCTGGGCATGCTCCCTCAAATCTCTGGGCTCTTTTCTCCTCCGCACGTGGAAGGCAGTAACTCTCCTTTTAGTGTTGTTTTAAGGCTTATAAATATATATATAATTAAAGTATATGAAACACCACAGAGCACACTGTAAGTACACCGTACATGGCAACTGTCTGCTGACTTAAGAGATCACACAGGGAGTAAGGAGGGACATTTCTCCAGCCCAGTCCCCACCACACTGCTGCTGGCATAAATTTATTAAAGGAAGGGCTCAGCGGGCATATAACGTAGCTCAATTCTATGTAAGCACCCTCTTCTGTACCAATCTCTCCCTCTAACCCTCTAGCTTTCTTTAGGCCTAGTTTTACTGTGTTTTACACTATGAGGCTAGTTTTCTAACCCACAAATGGACACTTAAACCCAGTCCCCGGTTTCCTAATGTCTTGTAAGTTCTGCAGGAAGCAAAGCTGTGCCTCCCACTCAGCACGGATGACTTCAGGTCCTCCTCCCATGAACGAGGTCGCAGGACGACTGACACACACTGGGCTTCTCGGTCTCCAGGACAGCCTTGTTACGGCTTCCCTGATACGTCTTAAGCCAGAGCATTTAAGACCTGCGCTCTCCACCCATCTTAACCATGAGAGTGGGATCCTGGGCTTGAAAGGCAGATGGGCACTGGCTGCCAGGGGCATGAGAGTACGTAAGGCCTCAGGTAGACGCCTGTGCTCAGGGTGCTGGCCCTGCCACGGAAGACGGGGGTGCAGGAGAGCAAGGCAAGGAGGGAGGAAACAGGGCACCTGGGCTAAGCAGACAGAGGACTCAGTTTCAACTTATTTCGCTTAGGGCGGCAGAGGGAACTTTCAGTAGCAGAACCAGGACAGAGGTGTGTCCCTGGGGAGGGCAGCCCTAGTCGTTCCCAACTTGGGAAAGCACCTTAATTATTTCCTTCACAAATACCTATGGGCAAACTGCCTGGATTTGCCAAAACTAGTAATTGTGTAACTGCACTGATTCAGCCACGAAATGGCTGAACAACCCCTTCTTTTACGTAGACCATAAGTAAAAATAAAATTTCTCTTCTAAATACATCTATCCCGTGGACTCTCAAACAACATGGGGGTTAAGGGTACCAGTACCCAGCCTCGTCCAGTAGGAAACCCACATATAGCTTTTCTTTTTAATCCTCCCCCAAGGATATGTTTTTGATTTTAGAGAGTGCGGGGGAGG